TTGCAGTTGCTGTTGTTGTTGTTGTTGTTGTTGCTATTGTTGACGCAGTGCATGCAGTAATTGTGCAGTTTATTTTACCATTTCCCATTCAAGTGCAAATTAAATGCACAGCGACATCGACGACCTTTGTCCTTTGACACGCCACAACAGCAGCTGCAGTTCATTTACCCCTCGGGGCCCGCGTACAATTCCCGCCGCCCAGCAATTTATTTGGCTCTTGTCATGGCATCAATGCCACATAATTGTTGCCAGACAGCTTGGCCCACAGTAAGCACACGAATTATAAGAAAAGCTGCTCCGGACTCTCTCCAACTTTTGCTACCTCACTCTCCTTATCGCTAGCTCATGAACAAGCCTGCGCGCACTACAAAAAAAATTCTTGCCAAATTACAAATTTCAATTTGGGATTTTGCTTTGGGACTTACAGTTTCTTATTTATGATGCTTTTCCCCTTTATTTATTATATTTTTGCTGGCCACCAAACCAAAATTTACGAGCTCGATTCTGTGTATTGCACAACAATTCAAAAAGCAATAAGCAAAAAGTATCTAATCCATGGGCTGAACTAACTTGGCGATACTCTGACACATTAGGTCTATATAGAAAACTATAAATTTCGAATAAAACGCTACCAAGTTTGAACATAGCATAAGGAATTGTCGGAGATGTTTCCTTTAATGCTTAACACACCTCATGACAAATTTAAAATACTCTCGTCAAGGGTATACAAATAGTAATTTAATGATTGGCAAGCTTTACCCAAACCAAATAGAAATTGTTTTGGATTTGTAAAAGTAATTTTAGTTATGAGTGTAAGGTTTTGGCAATAAATTGAATAAATTAAATTGAACACTTCAGCGCTAGCTTGGAAGTGCAATTTTTGCGTTTGATAGTCGCAATTGAATATACAGTAAATATTTAATTTAAATAAGGTAATGAGATTAAGGCGAGAGTAAATAAATTATTTGTCAATGCTGAACCGAAAAAGATAACTTACTTAAATCCAGAATAGAAATCGGGTTCTATTACCAACACCAAATAATTAATGTGATCAAAAATAGGATTTTGATATCCATCTTTATCGATTGCTTGGAAACAGTCAGACAGACAGACTCGGCTATTGATGCTGGTCAAGAATATATATACTTTATGGGCTCGGATATGCTTCCTTCTGCCACATACATTTTACTGCTTTCTAATGGGTGGAGAATATAAAAAGATAGTTCAGGATTAAAAGATAACATAAAAATGATACAAAAATAACCTACCATTCCGTCAATTATTAAATATTTATTTGTAAAGTTTAATATTATGCGTCACATGGGATAAATACGTATATTACTGTTAACAGGCGCACAACTATAATGTAAATAATGTTGTTAACATTAGCGCATGACTATCTACTTGCAAGTTGCTTCGCATAGCCTGCCCAGAAAAGACTTATACACCCACCCCTTGCAGGCCCAACATCAACCCCCTAACGCACCGCACCCTGCAACGTTTACATTCCACACGGCAACAATTTTGTCGCTTCGTGAAAATTCTGTTACGCGCAGCCGTGGTAGCTTTGCGACGTTTGAATTTGAGCTGTGGAGACTAATAACAGAGCCTGTTTATAACATAGTCTGTTATTTACAGAATTGACTGCTAAGTGCGTTTAGTTAAGCTGTGCCATGTTCAATGCTTTATGAAAGAATTCGTAATGGTTGCAACCAACTTATAGATATATAAGTATATAAATTCTTGGCCAGACCAACTCAGCTAAGATCAGCTGATGTTGCTATATTTAAGAAACGGGCGATTCGTAAGACATTGACTTTCTTTTAAAAATAGAACAAACATCTTATTCGAATCATCAAATTTTTAGTCATATGCCTTGTTTGAATTAATTAACTAATAAAGGTATTTATATAGGAAATATATAATATTCTATTATTAACAAAAGCTTACAAGCTGTGAATGCTTCTAACAAGATTGACGTGTGCTTACTAATTCCCCTTAAAACTAAATATCAAAGTTTGACCATGTGGTTTAATTGAATAGAGCAGACTAATGCCAAGGTGCGTGCATAACCAATTTGCGCAATCATCTGTCTGATATTTAAATGGGTAACAGCATATTTGAATCAATATGCATAAGACAAGGCATTCTGATTGAGGAAAACCCCAGTAAATGCAGCATACTGCCGGGTTGTTCAATGCTGCAGGCCCGAAGACCAACCTCAACATCACGCTCATCAACAAATTGGATTGACATGTGTGACTCAGCTTGCATTTCGTCGGGGCAGTCCTTAACTCGAGCACGGCCTCACTTTAACTGAGTGTGTGTGTGCCTGTGTGTGCCTCTGTGTGTGCCTGTGTGTGTGTGTCCATTCATGCGAATGACTCTTGTAGCCGAAGCTTTAACGTGCCATGTGAATGAACTCCGGCCGCAATAAATTTCAAATTGAACTAAACTAAGGAGCGCACACAGCACTTACATTTACCAACTGCCTCTAAATCAACACAAAACTTTGTGTGTGCATGTGTCTGTGTGTGTCTGTGTGTGCGTCTGTGTGTGTGTGTGTTTCCCTGGCGATTGTTCGTTTAGATTACATTGCGTTTATTTGCAAAGACTTCACTTCTAAAGTCAATCGACTCAATAAATTATTTTTAAAGCAATCAAAGGCGCTTTGGCGACAAAAATCCAATCCAACACATTTTCATTTTGCATACACCTGGGTATAATGCATATCTACAATTGTTTCAAGTATACAATACCATGGCACTTAAAATGCTATAAATATAAAATTCGAATGAAACCCATATGATATATTGCTATTTTTTTTTGATTTTACCAAAAATATTTTTGCCTAATTCTTTAGAGAAGCTCATTACTAACGGTCAATCGAAATATTTTATACTTCTGGAGGCTTAGTGAGGTTTTATCGACCATTAATTTATTGACAACAAAAATTCTTAGCAGGTGTCTTCGCAAATAACTCATTTTTCAGTCTTAGTAATTTCATTGGTATTGTTCTTCAGCCAAAGAAAAGATTTTGTTTTTATGCTATTAAATGCAATATATTTTAAATTAGTAAAATTAAATAAAAATATAGAATTATGATATGAATTATAAATATATAAATTTTAAAATCTAGCAGAGAAATTAATTATTGAAGCAATATTATGAATATGATTACCAAAAATCCAAAACTCGCCTTATTAAGGGCCCTACTTAAGGTTGTTTTGCGGAAATTCAAATTAATTAACTGCACATCTTAGCCTAGTCAAAGACGACATTTAATTAGAGTACCAGAAACGCCCACAAAATGCCCTGTGTATATAAATAACCAAATGTGTAGTGCCCATTTTAATTGTCATTGAACATCAGGTAGATTGGATGCACACTTTGATATATTTTCAATTAATTTGTGTGCAACATGACAATTGTCGGGTTAGCGTCGGGCATAGGTAGGGGGCTGGGGCTGGGGCTGGGCCAATGCTTCACTTGTGAAATTAGCCAAATTATTGGAGTAAACAGGGCGAGTCGACAAGTCGTCTTGTTTGCGCTTAAAATTTAATTTCACGCACAATTGACTCCATGCATAATTTTGACCGGAGTGATAAATTATTGCTGTTATTGCACACGGAGGCACACGCAAAACAAGAAACACAACCCAGAATCGACCGCAGCCAGCCGCCTGTTATGCGTACAGGGCAGCCGGCGCCCGGCGCCCGACGCCCGACGGCCGAGCAGGCACCGGCAAAATAATGGCCCTACCTAGCGCTGCAATCCTGCTGCACATTCTCATTGTCGTCCTTGTCGTCGTGCCTGTCGCTGGTTCGGCTGCTCGTTTGCTGCGTTCATTAATTCGCTGCCATAAAACAGCCCAAGCCAAGAACTGGGCTGGGGCATATTTTGCTTTGCTTGCATTTGCATACTTTCAGGCGATAGGCACGTGCGCGAACACGAACACTGCACGAAATTCAAAATGTACTCAACACATTTTTTGTTTTAAGGAATTTTAATTTAAAAATCTGACGTTCCTTTCCGATATTCAGGTGTTGTCCAATATATGACCTATCTATTTTACAGACTTTCTCGTGCCTTTTCGTGCTTTATCGTGATTGCATGAAAGTCAATTTTATGACTCAAGCTTGTCGTGCCTGTCAAATACGAAAAGCACGGTCTATGCGCATCTCTACTAGGCACCTGTTACCGCGACCAGACTTGGTACTGTTCCTGGTTCTGGTCCTGGGCCAGGTCCTGCTGGCTACCAGCCGCAGTTCAAGCTCCGCATACGCCTACAACACATGTCTGCTCATAATTAATGTGTAAATTGTAAAGCTGCGCTCGCCCATTTCCTTCGCTGCGGCCGTGTACAACCAGCTCGACAACAAGGACAGCAAGCGAGCAGCGGGCTGAGGGCAGAGGTCTGAGGGGGAGAGAGAGCCTAGTTAATATGAAACACAACAACATCAATAAACGACTCTGACCTGGGACATGCTGGGCGCAAAATGCGTTTTGACGTTGCACAAAGCTTAATTGCATTTGGTTCACGTTCAACGGCCAGATCGTAGCACCTGGGCGCAGGTGGGCAAACCGATTTGGCGCATGGACAACGACAATTTATTTATGCTTTTCATGAGCTTAAATTGTTTTACCTTGACTACGATAAATTAATGAACCTGTGCTGCAACTACTATTTCATTTTCCAGCAACAAAGAATGCTTTTACAAAAAATATGCTATAATTGAAACCTTGAACAAATTTGTAGTATAAAAACACACGATAGGAAATCTGATGCGCAGTTCATACTGAAATACCAAAAAGTATACAAATGTTTAAAGTGCCTGCCAAGGCAAGACCCTCTACTCAGTTCCTCGCTATCGTTGCACACAACTTTTATGCATACTTATATGAACAAAAACAAACACAAACAGTAACTATGAAAGTTGGAAAACGTATTTTTAAAAAACCTTCTGTTTATTTATTTTTTGTTTCGCTCTATTTTGTATATTTTCTTGAATTTATTTATTGTATATTATTTCCTCGAATTTAACTATAAAATCATAAGACATTTTAATTACATAATAATAGCCTAAATTAGAGCAAAATGCATCTTCTTGAGTTTTGACTCTTGGCTGTAAGCCAAGTATAGTAATATTTTTTCCACTAACGAAGAAGTAAAATAAATATTATTTTACTCTCCGATGAGTAACTAAATAAACAAAATTAAATAATTTAAAATTTACAATTATTCATATAAAGCAAAATACTTTTATCAATTGGATAGCAACTATTTAAATACTTTTCTAATACTTGAGTTTACGAGTTGGCTAGCGAAAAAATCGCTCATCCGTTTTAATAATTTCATAGGTCAAGGCTGGATCATCGTAGCCTTGCGAGCGATATTCAGCAATTCTTGCGTAAAGATTACAATAATTCCGAAATACCCGATTCGCGTTCAAGCTGTTCGACATATCGAAGAGCATTTGGTTTCCCTGCACCCGAACGCGCTCTATAGAGAAAACTAGCTTGGGCAGATCTAGATCATCGACGAGAAGCTTTCTCAAGTACTTCACCGGATCTATCGATCCATCGTCGTCGTACCAGATAAACAGCAAACGTCCATGTGTGAACCCTCCATGGTTAAAACATCTATCCAGCTGCTCCGCCTCGCTGGTTGCCTGGGACTGACGACTCACTCTGTGATAGATGCTGTCATCATGGTTGCCAAATGTTGACCGCTCGCGTCCGTTGGATGCCGCATCTGTGGAAAGTACGAAATCTAGATTAAAACTGTTAAGTTTTATAAATTCCCTAAACAATCGAATTACATAAACAGTAGTCTAGATAAATTTCACTCACCTACAATGCAATTGCTTAGCGCAATTAACAAGGCCGCAAATAATATGCTGGGCTTCATGGCTGAGTCTGAGCTGTTTATGGTCAAAGCGATTGACGTTGACTGAGAAGCAGCAAAATATTCTACAGCTTAAATATGTATGATTCCAGCAAGCGACCTCATGGAATCTCAATCATGACGAAATTTAAAGATAAGAACGAGAGATTCTCAAGAAATGGGACGCAGTCATAATGTGTCATGGATTTCGTTTCTGGGTAAGAGACTATACCGATCAATAATTCATCACGATTGTGTTCAACGTTAGAATCATTATTTAAACAATTGCAAGCTTCGAGAAAGTAAATAATACACTACACTGTAGATAATTTCATAATATACTTAATGAATGATAAATGACATTAAATCGCGAAATTTTAATACTAAACTATATATTTCGAAGGGAAGAATCGGTCAGAAAATACGTTTTTGTTTATCAACATATCTTGACCAGGTTCAACAAATTAAGAGCTTCACTCTTCACACAACTCCTCCAATATCACAACGCAAAAAATAATAAGATCAAATAGTTTTTTTCTTGGTAACATGTCTCAGGTATATAATTATCTTTTTAAGGCGCCACTGAACACAGTCAGTTGCATACCAAGTGGTATTCATGAATGACTGCCGAGTCACTCATTGAATGCGTAAGATACACATGTATGAATAATCTTCGAATGGCTAAAACAAGTTTGTTTTTTTTTTTGTTATTGTTGTGACCATTGCCAGGTGATTCACGTTCAATCAATATTTGCACACGGCTAAATCGAATCAATTTGCGAATTGTAATAATTCACGTTGCGATTCGTTTCACAAACTACTTGAAGTTAAAAACGAATATTTATGAGCTTTCTGTCATAAATAGCGTATGTCAAATATTGACATACCCTTTCGATATTGAGATACCCTGTAGTTGGATGATACAAAAATTAAGGTTTATAGCTATAAACTATAATTCTGCTAGATACCCTAAGTTTAGGTCCTAAGTATTGCACGTCTTTCTAATGCCATCCATCTGAGCTTCACGCAAAACAATAAATTACAATTATTATTTATTAAAATTGTCAACTTCCTGTTATCGCGGTCTAATTTCCTTGTTTATGTATGTGTCTATAGGGTATACAATTATGATACCGGAGATTGATTAAATAGATGTTCAAATGCTTATATATAAAGTTTTTTGGGTCAACATTTTTACTTTGTTATCTAGGAAAATGTCTCCGTTTGTGTGCACTTGCAGATCTGTGTTATGATTACGGCGCACGTATTTGGCGTGTGCATCTTTTCGCTGTACAAAATGTTTGCTGTGAATGACATTTTGACCCGAGCCACGGGGCCAAGTTCTATTTTGGATTGACGGATGCGCGTAATTCTTTTGATTTTAAAGCTGCCTGCACAAAACAATCCCAAACAATCACTGGCCTCCTCACAGTCTGGAACTAAAGCCACTGCCATTAGTGAGATTAAAACTATGGCCAATGGAACGGTGGGACAGAGGGACGGAGGGACGGAGGCAGGGAGGGAGAGACACTAGAGTAACTGACGCAGTGCCTGGGAACTGGCTTTGTTTCAGCTCGAACAATGGGCGTATCTCTCGTAATGACGCAATGCGTAGTCATACATTGTCCTCTTCAGCACAATTGCCACAGTATGCCCCTCCGCAGCGGGTAGTATATACGAGAGTTGCATAGACATACATATGTATATATAGAATGAGATATATCGTTCTGTGATGCAAGCATCCATAACAAAACAGTTGACACAAATGCAGTTGAACAGTGCACTCAGAATGTTGTTGTAGAGGGCGTGGTTTGGGGGCTTCAGGGCAGAGTAAGGGGGGGCCTTACAATTTGTTGTCTCTCTAATCTAGCTTTGATGGCTTGACAGCCATTCATACAATTTAGCAGTATAAAATACAGTTCAATTTGTTTAATTCACCATTGTCATAGCCACAAATCATGGGATGCAGCCCGGTCCAGTTGCACTTGCTCTGGCAATTCTGTAATTGACAGTTGAAATGCTTAAATCCCATTTGACATAAGCTCGCATTGGACAGCCGTAATTTGTTGAATGCCAAATAATTCACATAGAACAAGCAGCCATTAATAGTCCATGACGATAAATAATGCGGGTAAAGTCGGCTTAAATTTAATGCCCAGCCTTAATCCAGCCAAAAAAATAAGTGTTTCAGCACAAAATGTTGGTCATAAATTGTAAATGGAAAATATTATTGATTAATTTAACGAAATTTATCTTTCACCTGCATTATCTGCCTTGCAGCTTTCTGGTACAACAAATTTGGTCTTACCATAATAATCAAATTCAATTCGTTTAATTTATTTTAAGCCCATTGAAAGCTTAATTTTGATTTGGAACGTTTTAAGCTTCGCTTTGTATAATTGAGTTTTTAAGGATTCTCTTTACAGGCACAATCATCGGATTATCTAATGTGCTTATCAAAAAATTAAGTTGGCAGATTGCAAAAATTAAATTTTGTGATGCCTTACAATACATGCTCTTGCTCAGAGTTGAGCTTATTTCTTAACTAATGATATTTGTACTTAATCTGATATTTGCTGACAAAGCTACCAAAACGGAACTTTCGCAAAAGCTCTCCAATTTGCTGTTACCATAATTGTGCCTTGTGAACAAAAAAAAGTGCCTAATTAAATTTCTTTTCTAAGCTTAAAAGCTTCTAAAACAGTTTTTTGTAATTTCTTATTACATTCATTTTGTCATGTAAACAGCTATTTTGTGCAAAGTATTTATTAAAGCTTTTAATAAATAATATTCATTATGAATTAAGATTAATGCTTGACAAAAGCTTTTATTAATTTTAATAGACTGAAAGCTTTTATTAATGAAATTTCCCAGTCTTACTTACAACTTTCCTTACGAAAAGTATTGGAAATATTATGCTACCGCCAAATGATGAGCACTTTAGTTACAGAAAATATATAAGGTATGCGGCTAAATAAGTCTGGCATCTCAGAAATTAAATTAAATTTTCACCTCTTTTGCTGCAGAGCCGACAAAGTTCTCTGAAAAGCGTCAAATACTTGAGATCCAAGTGCCTGGCGCCTTTATTGTGGTGACTTTGAGTCATGAGGCAAGAATTGTGTGGAAAGGGTAAGGGAAAGGGAAAGGAGTTGGCAAGGAAAAATGTGCGCACTGCGCGGTTACAAATTGGTTGCTTGACTTTGTTGTGGCTTTTGGCCAAGTTTGCTTATTTTTACTTATTACCTGATTCAATTTGATTACGGACCACACGGCGTATGAGTTATGAATCAAATTTAAGATCCTCTTTTGCGTTTGACATTGGCAAAACATATCACAGTTTTGGTAAACCACCTTGCAGCACAATCAAATGGCGTCCATATATCTCAGGGCACACCGACAAGCGACAAAGCGGGGGGTGTTGGGGTTTCAATAAATGGCTATGACTAGGCTCAGAGCGGCTGGAAGGATGAGGCCAGGGATGAAATTGCTTGGCTTGTACGGCTTGTGCTCGGCTCTCGAGCATTGTGCATTTGTTTGCCTGGCAATATGGTCGCCAGCAGTTTTATTAAATTCTTACAAAGGCTTCTCCTTCGCGTCCAAAAGAAAAGGCAATAAAAATCATTTAACAAAGTCAAACAACAATAAAAATTAAACTTTGCCGTCAACAGAGCAAAAAAAACAAGCAAGAGCATTGCAGTCGGGTGCACACGACTGCAGCATACTCTGTTTGCGGCTTGAACTTTGGGCACCATGATTCTCTCTAATACTGTGAAAGTCAAAGATTGTTGCAACTCGCCAATTTTTGTGCATCTTGAAGGTGTAAGTTCTTGACAGGCAGACGAACATTGCACAAAACCAATAAGCGCGTTTTCACTTTTTGAACAGAGTATGAAAAAAGCAGCAGAAGAGGCAAAACTGGGAGCAGCAGCAGCCAAGCATAAAAAGACGCAGAGTAAAGCACTGCAAAAGGCAAAAGTACATAACAAAAAGAAAATTAAATAATAAATATAAAATATAAATAACGTATAGAATGCGAACAGCGAACAGCGAACGGCAAACGACGAACCAACAAAAAGTTTTCCAAATTAATTTTCAAATCTGCTGCAACTCCTAAAAGTCATGTGTGAGCTTCGTTGTCATCGCCAAAGGACGCAGGACAGCAATTTATTATGTCATGCCTCGTCAGGCAGCGAGAGGCTGATGAAAAGGCGAAGGCAATGCCAAAGGCAAAGGCATCATCATAAATCAATCCATTTGACGACCTCAACGATGAGCCCGAGCAAGCCCTGCCGCCTGGGGCGAGGAGTGCGACGAATTTAATTACACTTAAGCGTATTGGTGGGTAAAATGAAAATCGTCATACATATTGCCGTCTCAGGCTGAACTTTTCCCCATTTTCACTCACCTCACTCGCCAAATAATTCAATTCTATTCACTTCGATTCGCTGCAATGCAATAATGCTAAGTGCTACCCAGAATGGAGCATGACTTGAACAAAGGGCCAAAATGTCAGGCTGTTAGATAGCCAAGAAGCCAACATCCCTTCTCGGCCAGCCTCGTTGCCAAAATGCTGATGGATTGAGCTTGATAACGGATTCACTTTTCGTACTAGTAAATGCACACATACCAAGATTTTAATTAATTTAAAACTACAATGAAAACATCATCTCGAATGATGTGAATTCCACCAGGAAAAATGTTGACATAACATTTAATATGAATTTGACATTCGCTTGAACAGTTGATTTGTGTGCCCTTATCTTTGGTTTACTTAGCAAGAGTTCAGTTGGTTGGTGTCTTCCGGTCTTTTTTCCATTGACAGATAGGCTGAATAAAGAGGAAACTCCTTTAAAAATGAGCAAAGTTTAAACGATAGTATACGCGAGAATCTAGTCCTTAATTCTGCAGCAAGGTGATGCAGTTTTTTAGGCGGGCTGGGATGTCAACGTTATGCACTGCCCGTTTAACAGGATGTGCGGCCTAAGAAGGCCGGCTGTGGTTTATCCAGGCACAGGAACGTGTGTTGTGAAGAGGGCATATAAGAGCGATCCCAGTACGCTTCCCTACGGAATTCCAGCAACAACCAAGAGGGGAGTGACTGAAGTTTTTTCCTTGTATATCTGTTCAAAAGAATACGCAAATGTTAATTCAAGTGAATTATTAATAAATTTAAAAGAAAACCAAATACCCAAAAACAGTTTCCTAGCAATTTCCCCATCTTCTGGCATATGTATTAAATGCAAGAGCCTAGTTCTTATAATTTAATCTGCGTGTCGAAACAAATAGTTTTGTATGATAAAATAAATGAAAACATAATAATTAAACAGATTGTGCATTCTGCCCATAAATAATTGCATAACTTTCACATTCAAAGCATTCGATGCGCATGGTACCCCTGCTAGGATTATACTTTTAGTTTTACCTTGTCAAACACATTTGAATTGTCGTCAGAGTCTATGTTAGTTTCCAACAATCTTTTAAAATTAAGTGTGTATTGAATAAATATTTATAGAATAAACAAATTACAGTATTGCGCCTTGCGGTTGCTTGCGGCTTTGTTATATTTGTAAACAATTTAAGCAATCCATAGAAAATGATGCTGGGTAGGTAAAAAATAGGGTGCGACCGACTGCGCAATACGCTGTTTCCAGTCGAACATGCAAACAGATAAAACAAGAAAAAACGGATATCCCTTATCGGCATTTTGAATTAGTTCAAAAGGTTCTCTGGGAGCTATATGATATAGTACCGATCCGTAACGGCCTTACAAATATTTGTAGGAAATAACTTGCTTTTAATTTAAATATTTTAATATAATAGTTTACATTCGAGACGATTTCAAAAGATAGATAGATGTTCATTAAAAAACCCAGCATACTCTTTTGTTAACTTTGCCAACAAAGTATACAATGGAACTCACTTGAAGTTTATGTCAAATTAGCATGCATATTCTCTTATAAGCTTTGATAGCAGCATGGAATCATGCGTTACATTCCCCATTTGAGGACATTATTTTACGTTCTTACCTTTAGGCGCAACCGATTCGCTGTTGTGCCAAATCTCGCGCAAATTGCGAGTTCGCCTTTGATTTTTGCCAGTTGTTGGCCCAGGCCCAGGCCGCCGCCTTCATCAGCAATTCGCCCCGGGGTGAAGCCACACAAACTATTTTACCATCTTCTGATGAACATGTAAAATGCAAATGAATTTTTTAGCACGCACAAAAGTTTTTTTCCTTCACTTTTTTTTGGGGGGGGGGGGACAGGAGGAGGAACAAGCGCTGCTCCAATTACATTTTGAAGGAAGTAAATACTCTGGGAAAGGAAGCAGCACTCAGTTTGGTCGGATGGGCGGCGGGTAAGAGTGCGGTGCGGCAAGTTTCAAGTTTGTCATGCGAAAATCATACAAAACTTGGGTTTTCGTGTGCTCACGAAAAGTAATTGAGGCGGAAATCCCTAATTGGCACCTTCAAGTCAGCGCCGACAGCGAAGACGACGACGTCAAAAAGAAATCGGAGCAATAGAACCAAGCAAAAGAGATGAAAACTTGCATACCACCCCCCCATTTTGCCATCCGACGGGGTGTATTATTTTCGAGGCTGGTATTGGGTATGAGAGGGCGTGGCTTTGGCCGCACACGTAGTCGCATGCAAATGGGAAAACTTTGCTCATCAGCGCGCACAAATTGAGTGAAATTATCAGTTCAAGTGAAATTTACACTTGAATGTCGCCGCTCTTAACGCACAAGTCGCGGCTGCCTTTGGTTATATTTAATGTGATTCCTCACAAATATCTTCTACATAATGAGTTCAGAATATCCAACCACGAGATACCCTTTACGTAGACGAGGAATCCGAAAACATAGATGTCGCAAATAAAACGTTTTTAGATACCGATTTCCAGTATCTACGACAGAAAAACCTTATATTGGATTATATTGGAAGATCTAAATTATACTCCTTACAATATCGTGAATGATTTTGCCTGTTACCAAATGTGACCGCATCCTTATCATACCCTTTTTATGCGTTTATAATGGATGTGGAATATCTTCTTGCTGCTAATTTTGTTTTGCTCGACGCGTTTACGACTGGAAATCCAATTAAACACATGAAGCGGAGCGAAAACATGTGTGACACATCCTGATAATTTTCCATCTGGCATTTGGCGCAGCCTTTTGGCCTAGTTAATGGCGAACTACGACTTGGCAACGACATCTGCAACTTCGCAGATACTTTTTGCCCCGCCTCCTTGCTTACGACTTGCGAATTCCAATTGAGTTGAGTTGCAGCCAACACAGACACCACATAGACTCATATTCCAGATGCTAGATAGTTAGCTCGAGTTGGTAATTGCCATAAATTGGATTGTGTTGGACGTTTTAATGACTTGTCTAATGTGCGATAATTTGGCCATTAAGAATGTTGCCAAAACTCGAAAATTATTTGGCCGACAAAGGCAGCATAACACACACTCTTGTTTAATTAATTGTTTTAAATTACTTTGCTTTCTTCTGATTCGGCTTACCCGATTGGTAGGAACTCGGTTGAACAAGGGCCTGTATTATATAATATAAACAGACGACAAGCAAAGTATATATTCTTGATCAGCATCAATGTCCGAGTCGATCTGGCCATGTCCGTCTGTGTGTCAACCTGTATGTTCCAAGAAATCGATAAAAGTTGATATCGAAATCCTGTTTTTTGAGCAAATCTCTTAGCTCTTAAGAGCTAGAGTCACCAACTTTAACATTTAGCTTCTAGAATAGTTTACACAGATCCGCGAATCTTTTATAGCTACTAGCCAAATAAATAAATCAATTATAACTATAATGTTTGAGTTAACAATTTTAATGCTATTGTATATTTAAGTATAAAATAAGATCTACTATAAGATCCGTCTAAAAAAAACGCAGAAATTATTAAAGAAACCGTGTGGATATTAGACACACATTAACATTTTCATAATTTCAAGATTCCCTTCTTCCATTTCGTTCTGGAAAATTACAAGATAAATTCACAAAATGAACTGCAGTCGATCATCGCAAGTTTTCGGACTGCCGCAAATATCGATTGCCCCCCAACTGTGCAACAGTCATTAGTATGGTATACAATACAAAGAGAAAAGCACGACGCAAAATCAAAGTTCATTATTGCTGCAAATTGTGGCAAGCGCAATCAAACTGACTGTGCCAGCCCGTTGCACATGTCGTATACGTAATATAAATACGCAGCAAGCCGACTGACAGACTGAACTGAACTGTGCAGGCAGCGGACTGTGCCATTGATCAAGTTGCAGCCCAAAAGATGCTATTTACAAAAGGGCCAAGGAAATGAGCAATGCATGCCACATAAATCACGCGCAACATGCGGCGCTGCCGCAAGCTGGGGCCTGGCTGAAGTTGGTCGCCAAAAGGCGAGCTCATCAACTAAATGCAAAAGCTGCAGCGGCTGCTACCCAGAGCTCCTCCACAAGTGCTGTACTACAAGAATAATTGACGACGACAATGGATAATGAGCGTAGTACACACACACATACCCGGGAAGGCAGAAGGCCTGCTGGGAACTGAATCAATGCCAGGCGGAGGTTGAAGGAGCTGGCCCAGAATGCTAGGGCCTGGTTGCCTGGCTGCAGGATGCTTGCCTGAGTGTCTGCCTGTCTGCCTTTCTGCCTGTCTATCTGGCTATTATAATCCTGCGGAAACACTTGAAAATGATGGATGAAAATTATCGTTTACTGCAACGCATGCAAATCCGTAAAATTACTTTCGAATGATTAATGCAGTTCCATTGGCGAATTTTCAACAGCTAAATGCTGGCACTATCGTTTACATCATCATCATCATGAAGCCAAACCATAATTAAAGCTGACAAGACAAGAAAAAAGTAAAGAAAAGAAATGAAGAGCAAAATACCCCGGCAGGAGGGGACAGTTGCTGAACTTCATTTGAAATTCATATTTTAAATATTCGTCAGTCAATTAGAGAGCAAAAGACTCGACACCAAATTTGCATTCGAGCGTAAAATTATCAAATTAATATTCAGTCACCTCGAGAATGGCATGAAGCATACCATAGACTACAGCTCCAGAGCTCCTAGGAGCTGGGCCTGGCACAGGACGTCGTTGCCTCGCCTAGGCAATAAATGTCGACAAGTTTTGTATGTAGATGTCGTCGGCATTGCGCATATTTCGGCAAGTTGTCAACGCAAATAAGAAACTTCCTTCCCAACAATGTCAATTTGATGAGCCATTTAAATATGCCCACTCCAGAAATATGTGTGCAGCAGCACAGACAGAAGTCTGTCTCTCCGTGTGTGTGTGTCCAGGCTTTGCTAATTGGAAACCTTAAGTTCATCAGTGCACGAGGCATGCGCTTAGATAAAAATTTTCAATGACACTGGCTTAAAGTGATGTATTGAATTAATCCTGCAAAGTACCGAAATTCGCTAGTACATAAATTTGTTAAATCCTATCAACTAAAGGAACATAAAATTACTGCTTACATTTGTACAGTTAGACCAATCATTTGAAAGCTTTAAAAGCTGAGAAATTGCGAGATTTTCCCTTGCATAAAGCTTACAAGTTTTACATAAATGAATATTTCAATTTCTTCAAGCTTAAAGCTCTAAAAGCTTGCGAAATTATAAAACTGCATGTTTCAGATTAGACATATTAATTAGAGACGTGTACTAAATAAAGCTTTCATTTTCTACAATCAATAATTAATAATAATAATAAAAGCTCCATTGACAATACAATCACGACGCTATTAAGGAGCTTTCTTATGCATACATGAAATATACTATTTGTAAAAATTAAAAAGCTTTACTTTTTTAATCCTAAAGCTCAAAAGTCTACTGACCACTTGCAATTCAAACATTTTTAACTCTTCCTGCAATAGCTGAAAATCAACATGAGGCTTACACACACCCAAACGCTTTCAATTACCATTATCGATTCAATTAATAAGTTTTCTACAAAAGAGTTGACCATGTGAATGGCCATTAAATAAGCCAAATAAACGTCGATACGCATTCATTGAATATTCGAGTCCATTTGGGCCATTATCAAATTTTTAATGCACTGCGCCTAGCGACAAGCATCCTTGAGCATTGATA